ACTGTGTCTTTTCTTCTGAGTGAAGAAGAACGGATCTTTATGATCCAGTTTAGAAGAACGGATCTTTATGATCCAGTTTAGAAGAACGGATCTTTATGATCCAGTTTAGAAGAATGGATCTTTATGATCCAGTTTAGAAGAACGGATCTTTATGATCCAATGAAGAAGAACGGATCTTTATGATGATGAGACACCAACAGATCTGAGTTAAATAGATTCATTTCTGCAGGAACTGATTCGTTTGCATCCAGATGTGTGAAGGATGAAGAGGAGGCAGATGTTCTGCTCCACGGTCACAAACTTTCCTCTAACTTCTCCTCAAAGTTCACATTTCTGGAAAACACAACTAAGACAAAGTTTTAGAGGTTCTGCAGAACCGAATAATCCCGCAGGAGCCGGCGGACCGAGCGGGTCCCGCATCCTGCCCCGCAGCAAACAGGTCCAAAGAGGCGGCCAGCAGCGGACAGGTGATCCCCGCAAACATCTGCAGGCTCCCGCAGCCTGAGCTGCTGATCTGCTCTGCTGCTTAAAGTTGGCAGAGCGGCTGCGGGGCCAGAGTGCCTGTTCCGTGCGGGTTGTTGCGGTAGTGTTGCGGTGAGCGGCCTTGAGCGCGCGGAGCCTCCGCTCACTGTGATGAACAAACTTTTACCCCCCTCCCCCCCTCATTTAAATAACCCGATATTTGCCGCCATCAGAGGGCTGTCCGCCCGCTTCTGTTGGACCAAACTCACCCTGGGAGCTTCCTCATCCTCTCTCTGGACTTTTTCCTCACTTTCAACTATTTCCTGAATTTTTAATAATTTTTTTCTCATATTTTCTGCCAGACGCGGCGGGCCTGGAAATTGTTTGCTCTGTCTTTTTTCGGGCAGCCATTGTGTATGCGCTGCGATGCAACCGCACTATGCCCTGACCACGCCCACTCCGGTCCCCCTGCTTCTTCTGATTGGTTCTCAGCATTGCCACTCTCCCGCCCTCTCACAGTCAGGCCTGCTGCACTGGCCGGACCCCCTGTCAATCATTTGGTCTTCGCGCTTGTGATTGGGCGGGACTCGGACCTCAGCAGGAACGCTATTGGGCCGCTGGGCTTTCAGGGCCGTCCTGCTCTCTGATTGGCTGACGCGGTATGTGGAGGGTTCTCCTGGCGCTGTGCTGTAGAGCGCAGCAGTTAGCTAGCTATAACTCTCTGTAGCTGGGGTCTGAGGAGCAGCAGGAGGAGCGGCAGGAGGAGCAGCAGGAGGAGCAGCGGCAGGAGGAGCGGCAGGAGGAGCGGCAGGAGGAGCGGCAGGAGGAGCTGCAGAGGACACCCGGCGGCAGCGGGAGGACAGCTGGGCTCACTCCGGGTTGTTTGATAACTGAACCATGACCTTCAGCCTGGATGAACCTCAGCGGCTTCCGTAGTGTGCGGATCGGAGGCGATCTTCTGCAGGTAGGTGGACCTCCTCTGGCTCAGCACCGGAATATTGGACCCACTCTGGTCCGAACCGGCAGACATGTTGCTCTGTCGCTTTAAACCGGTTTGGAAACCGGTTCAGGCTGAGCTGTTCACATTGATCCACAGGTTAAAGCAGAGGAAGCTCAGTGTTTATCATTAAGGTGCGTTCAGGTGCAGTGGTTAAACCCTGCACCGCGTCATCAATTAGGAGGAGCTTCAGCATGGAGGTCAGGGCTGAGCATTTCAGATGCAATTAATATGAATATTTTATTAAATAATAATAAAAAATAATACAGTTTATTACTTTCTATTTCCTCTACTTTCTATTTTCTAACATTAGACCCAATGTCAGTGGCTAACTCAGTCAGTGTCTTCCAGTCAGTCTGAGATAGCCAGACTAATGTTAGTCTACAGACTATACTATAGGATCCATAGATGGATTTATTGCTTAGTTCATGCACTGGCTGGGAAATAACCAGAGGAACGTCTTCCTGCAGACAGAAAACTGCTGGTTTTAGCAGCCAAATGCTTGAAAGGAAGCATTTTACTGTGCATCTCTGTGAAGGTGGGGAGTACTAAGATGGCGGCTGGTGGCTTCACTGAATAAATAGAGATCACTGCCCCAGACCCTCTGCTTTGGACCTGCTGTTACCCCTGGCAACCCCATGTCATTTCCTGTCAGTATTTCACAATAAAAGCCCAGGTGACCCTCAACATCAGGGCCTAATGCTAAAAGGTTCTCTGTGAACAACCTTTGAATCTCCTTGAAGAGAAAGATCCACTGTGGTTGGGATTCAGCAGGACTTCCCTGTAGGTCTCCCCCATCAGAAAGCCCTGATGCTGGGCAGAGGGCAGGGACAGAGTGGCCTCTGGGCTGGAGGTTCACCATGCATCCATACCAGAGCACTAATACATGACCTTAGCTCCTTTCCTTTACTTTCAGTAAACAGAAACACACTGAGTGGAACAGATCTGTCCTCTTATAGTGTCCACAGCCTTGTCCCAGATGTGACCTGCATTTAAATAGAATAAATAACCATAAAAACATGAAACTGTTTAAACAGCTTTATCACATCCTGCTTCCTTAAAGCCTTTTTAGGTAGAAACCTGTTTTCAGAGCAAGTTTAATACAAATACTTTTATACATTCAT